AATCAAAATTTTGAGAAAAAAATGAACAACGGAATTGTTCGATACTATCTATTACAAAGGCAGATTAATTAAACACAGTGATCAAAACAAGTACAAGAATGGTTTGGTAAAAGCAAAAAGATATCAGAAACATGACAAAAGGACACAGGAACAATTTGAATAAACGTCCACAGGCTTTAGCACGGATGATTTGAGAATAAATAACAAACAACCATATTAGCTAAGTATTATAACCCACTTAACATCGAGAAGCCGAATTTATACAGATATAAATAAAAATAAAAATAAATAATGAATAAATGGTTGAATAAAAGAAGCCTACTTTTTATACCATGATAAACACATGAGGAATAATGGAACTAAAAATAGCACATTTTTGCTACTGTGGTAATAACTGACTTAGGTAATGATCAGAAGTAAACACTAAAAATAATGAGTAATGACTTGAGGAAAGAAATCTCAACACTTCTGTTACTTCTGTTGAATGTCAACAAAAGGTGCATAACCTAAATGTAATCACAAGGAAACAGACAAATCCTGTCATTTACCAGATCAGTAATGAAGAGGTATGGACAATAGCTAATGGTCGGTCAGGATGTTGTCAGTGGTTTCTCCCATGAGATTTTTTATACAGTTTGGGTATCCATCTCCTCCAAATCTCAAGTTGAAATTTGATCCCCAGTGTTGGAAGTGGTGTCTAGTGGGAGGTGTCTGGGTCATGGGGGTGGGATCCCTTGTGATCAGCTTGATGATGAGTGAGTTCTCAGTCTGTTAGGTTGCACAAGATCTGATTGTCAAAAAGAGCCTGGCACCTCCCTTCTCTCTCTTTCCTCCTCTTTGCAAGTGATGCCTGCTCCCCTTCTTCCCCTTCTGTCATGAATGGAAGCAACCTGAGGCCCTCGCCAGAAGCAGATGCTGGTGCCATGCTTCTTGTACAGCCTCAGAACCATGAGTCAAATAAACATTTTTTCTTTATAAATTACCTGGCCTCAGGTATTCCTTTATAGCAACACAAACGGACAAATATCAACTTCACGTTTTTCAAGGAAGTCATATTTATAGCTTGTATCAGCTAAGGAATGTCTAGGATATGTCAGTAACAAGTAGACCCAAACCTATAACAGCGCAGCAGAGAACAAGTTTATTTCTTCCTCATAAAAGTCAGGCTTCCGGAGAAGAAAGATGAGGAAACTGTTCCACACAGTGATTCTTGAACCTTGGCTCCTTCCATATAGTATTTTTCATTTCTAGTAGGAACAAGGAGAGCAAAAAACATAGAATGATGATCTCTTTCATAGGACTTGTTTGCCACTGAAATCCACATTTCACTACCCCATATAGATGGAAGAGTGGTTGAGACATTACCCCATATAGATGTTAGTGACATTACCCCATACAGATTGAAGAGTGGTTGAGAAATGTAGACTAGTTGTTGACCTAGGGACAAAAGGAAATAGTTCTTGGTGAACACACAAGAATATGCAAACACACAAGTAGCTACCATAGGGGTCTCTTTTAATTATATTTACTATGTATATACCACATTGTGTGGTTGCATTCTGGAAGAAGGATTTCTCCCCACATCCACTACCTTCATATTATTTATTTGGTCTGGTCTGACTGATACACTATCTGCTATATACATTTTCTTTCTTTTTTTTTTTTTGAGATGGAGTCTTGCTGTGTCACCCAGGCTGGAGTGTGGTGGCGTGATCTCAGCTCACTGCAACCTCTGCCTCCTGGGCTCAAGCAATTCTCTCTACCTCAGCCTCCCAAGTAGATGGGAGTACAGGCACCCACCACTACATCCTAATTTTTGTATTTTTAGTAGGGATGGGGATTCACCATGTTGGCCAGGCTGGTCTCGAACTCCTGACCTCAGGTGATCCACCCAGCTTGGCCTCCCAAAGCACTGGGATTACACGTGTGAGCCACCGTACCCAGCCTGTATACATTTTCTATTGTACTGAGAAATATGAATTTGAGCTGAGGTTATCACACATTTATTACATTCTAGGTTTTCTCCATTGTGTAAATTCTCTGGTCAATGAGATTCAATCCAGGACAGAAAGCATCCATCTCTTCATTTCTTTCTCAGGATTCCTCTACAGTGTAAGTTTATAAGGGTTTAGTTCATTTTGGGTATTTTCTATATTGATTACCTGGGTGAATTCTCTGACCCCAATACAGACTAAGCTTATACTTAGTGACTACAAGACTACCCACATGCAATACATTTCAAGGCTTTCCCTCCAGTGAAAGTTCTCTTAAGTTGGCTGGGCATTGTGGCTCACAGCAGTAATGCCAACACTTTGTGAGGCTGAGGTAGGAGGAGCCCAGGAGTTTGAGACCAGCATGGACAACATGGCGAGACTCCTCTAAGAAAAACCTTTTTAAAAAATTCCTTGGGTACTGTGGTGTGCACCTGTAGCCCCAGGTGCTCAGGAGACTGAGTGAGGCAAGAGGATCACTTGAGCCTGGGAGGTTGAGGCTGCAGTGAGCCATGACGGTATCACTGCACTGCAGCCTGGAAGACAGAGCAAGATCCTGTCTCAAAAAAAAAAAAAAAAAAAAAATTACATGTTTAGTGAGAAACTTCCACGTTCAGTAGCTAAATAGGTTTTGGACCCTGTCTGAGTTTTCCAATCTTTTTTTAGTTTTGACGTGTGGCCGAAAGTTGCCCTACATTCATCACCTTTATAGAATTCCTCCCAAGAGTTCTCTGATGTTCCTTGAATGTGTGATTTCTGCCCAAAAGATCCATGACACTGGCAGGCCCATTCAATGTGTAAGTTCTCTGATGTAGTGCAAGGTTTAACGTGTGACCGAAAGCTTTTCCATACTCATTATGTTTGTAAGTTTAATCCCTGTGAGTTTTCTGATACTTTCATGGTTTTACTTCTGGTAGAAATCTTCCCTACTCCATCACATTTTTAGGATTTCTTTCTTTTGTGATTCATCTGATGGCTTTTTACACTGAAAACTCTTTGAAAATTTTCCCACATTTATCACATTTACAGGATTTCTGATGTTTGTGAGTTCTCTGATACAGTCTAAGGCCTGATTTCTATTTGAAAGCTTTACCACTTTCATTACATTCATAGGATTTCTCCCCTGTGTAAATTCTCTGATGTATAAGGTTTGACTTCCTACAGAACGATTTCCCACATTCAGTACATTCAAAGGGTTTTTCCTCTGAGTGTGTTCTCTGATGTACTGTAAGAGGTTATTTTCAGGGGAAAATTGTGCCACTTTCATTATATCCATAGGTTTTCTCATCTTTATTTGATGTATGATAAAGGATGGCCTCCAAAAGAAGAATTTTTGACATTCAAGATACACATAGGATTTCTCCTCTGAAGGTCGATTGAGAACTGAGTTTCCCTACATGTGTTATTATCACAGAATATCTATAATGTGCAAGTTTTCTGATAATGTACTTTAAGGGCTAAAATGTGGCTGAAGTTTTTCCCAAACTCAAAAAACGTTTCACCCCTGTGAGAGCGCTCCGATATTCTCTGAAGAGTACTTTTCAACTGAAAGTTTTCTCTCTGATGTCAGTTCTCTGAAGTTGAGTAACCCCATTGAAATTGTTCCCAATTTGATCACATTCATCTTTATTAAATTCAGAGTGACAATTCTTTGTGTGAATGCTCAAGGACCAATTTATCACACAGATTTTGTGTTAGGTCATTCCTGCATTGCTAGAAAGAAATACCTGAGACTGGGTAATTTATAAAGAAAAGAGGCTACATGCCAACAGGCGCTGACCCCCTTCTCGGCGGGGATGCGTACATTTATCAGATGAAAACCAACCTGGTCAGCCCCTCCCCAGCCCCGGCAGGGACACGCGCACCAGCATCTAGAATCTGCCAAGAGCTAAAACAGATTTACAAGAAAAAAAACAAATAAGCCCGTTCAAAAGTGAGAAAAGGATATGAACAGATACTTTACAAAAGAAGACATACATGAGGCCAACAAACATATGAAAAAATGCTCATCATCACTGGTCATTAGAGAAATGCAAATTAAAACCACATTGAGGTATCATCTGACACCAGTTAGAATGGCGATCATTAAAAAATCTGGAGACAACAGATGCTGGAGAGGATGAGGAGAAATAGGAACACTTTTACACTGTTGGTGGGAGTGTAAATTAGTTCAACCATTGTGGAAGACAGTGTGGCGACTCCTCAAGGACCTAGAAATAGAAATTCCATTTGACCCAGCAATTCCATTACTGGGTATATACCCAAAGGATTATAAATCGTTCTACTATAAGGACACATGCACACGAATGTTCATTGCAGCACTGTTTACAATAGCAAAGATCTGGAACCAACCCAAATGTCCATTGATAATAGACTGGACAGGGAAAATGTGGTACATATACACCATGGAATACTATGCAGCCATAACAAATGATGAGTTCGTGTCCTTCATAGGGACATAGATGAACCTAGAAACTATCATTCTCAGCAAACTGATGCAAGAACAGAAAATCAAGCACCGCATGTTCTCACTCATAGGCGGGTGTTGAACAATGAGAACACATGGACACAGGGAGGGGAGCACTACACACTGGGGTCTATAGTGGGGAAATAGGGGAGGGACAGCAGGGGGTGGGGAGTTGGGGAGAGATAGCATGGGGAGAAATGCCAGATATAGGTGATGGGGAGGAAGGCAGCAAATTACACTGTCATGTGTGTACCTATGCAACAATCTTGCATGTTCTTCACATGTACCCCAAAACCTAAAATGCAATTTTAAAAAAGGCTTAATTGGCTCACAGTTCTGCAGTTTTTACAGGAAGCATCATGTTGGCATATGCTTGGCTTCTAGGGAAGCCTCAGGAAGGTTACAATCATGGCAGAAGTCAAAGCAGGAGCAGACACATCACATGGTGAAAGCAGGGCCAAGCAAGAGAGTGGAGGGGGGGTGCCACACACTTTTCACCACTTTTTCCATTTAGAAAAACAAGTGCAGCCCACTGTTAGCACTCATTTAATGTTACATAAACACACTCTTTGAGGCAGAAGCAAATCTGACTGACTTTCAATGTGAAAATAAAATATAAAAACTGTTCTCAGAGTTATTTATAAACAAAAGTAACATCAATATTATTTGAATTCAGCATCTGAATCCTCCATTTCAGAAAAATTGGATTCATCAAATGAATCTTTGGCCAAAAACTGTTCAAGAACAATGTTAATGTCATGTATATCAATGCTACATCTTCTAGGATTTAACATTTTCAGTTATCAAGAATTACTATATTTTTTAAATGAACATACCACTACTAGAAACAGAATACCATAAATAGGATGATGTCCTTTGTTGCCAAAGTCAATATACAAAAGCGATGCATTAATAATAATAAAAGTGAGATATTTCATAACAAAGTTTTCTCAGGGTAAACACTGCCCTGAGAATACTTGTTGACAGTGCCTGCAGCTGCAAACAGGAAAAGGGTTAAATGAACAGCTGAGCTCTCACAAGATCTCACAATTGCAAAGACAACACCAAGCCCCAAGGGATCCACTCCCATGATCCAAACACCTCCCACCAGGGCCCTCTTTCAGCATTAGGGATCATAATTTAATATGAGATTTGGATGGAGAGAAATATCCAAACTATATCATTCTGACCCTGGTCCCTCCCAAATCTCATGTCTTTCTCACACTGCAAAATATAATTGTCCCTTCCCAATAGTCTCTCAAAGTCTTAACTCATTCCAGCATTAACTGAAAAGTCCAAAGTCTTACCTGAGACAAGTCAAATCCCTTCCACCAATGAGCCTGTAAAAATCAAGAACAAGTTACTTACTTCCATGATACAATAGGGGTATAGACATTGGGTAAACATTTCCATTCCAAAAGGAAGAAGTCAGCCAAAAGAAAGGGGCTACAGGGCTCCCATTCAAGTTCAAAATCCAGCGGGGCAGTCATTAGCTCCTAAAGCTCCAAATAACCTCCTTTGACTCCATGTCCCATATCCAGGGCACACCAGTGCAAGGGTTGGTCTCCCAAGGAGTTGAGCGGCTCTTCCCTTGTGGCTTTTCAGGGTTCGGCCCCTGTGGCTGATCTCACAGGTTGCTGAATGCTTGCAGATTTTCCAGGCACAGGGTGCAAGTTACCAGTAGCTCTACCATTTTGGGATCTGGAGAACAGTGGACCGCTTTCCATCACTCTACTAGGTAGTGCCCCAGTGGGGACTCTATATGGGGGCTCCAACCCCATATTTTCCCTTGGCACTAACCTAGCAAAGGTTCTTTGTGAATGCTCTGCCCCTGCAGCAGGCTTTTGGCTGGGAACCCAGGCTTTCTCACACATCCTCTGAAATCTAGGTAGAGGCTGCCAAGCGTTCTTCACTCTTCCTTTCTGTGCACCTACAGGCTTAACACCATGTGGAAGCCACCAAGGCTTATGGCTTGCATTCTCCAAAATGGCAGCTCGAGCTGTAACTGGGACCCTGTGAGCCACAACTGGAGCTGAAACAGCTGGAATATGGAGAGCAATAGTCTGAGGCTGCACAGGATACCAGGGTCCTGGGCCTGGCCCATGAAACTGTTCTGTCCTCTTAGGCCTCTGGGCCTGTGATGGGAGGAGCTGCTGCAAACGTATCTGGAATGCCTTCAAGGTTTTTCCCCATTGTCTTGGGAATCAGCACTTGTCTCTTTTTCAGTTAAGCAAATATCTCGAGCAAGTGGCTGCTCCACAGCCTGCTTAAATTCCTCTCCTGAAAAAGCTTTTTCTTTATTTCTCTGCCACATGCCCGGGCTGCAATTTTTCCAAATATTTATACTCTGCTACTTGTTTAAATATAAATCCCAACTTTAAGTTTTTCATTTGCTCCCACATTTGAGTTTGGGCAGTTAGAAGCAGCCACACCACTTCTTAAACACTTCGATGCTTGGAAATTTCTTCAGCCAGATACCTTAAATCATTCGCTCTCAATTTCAAATTTCCTCAGATCCATGGGGCATGAACACAATGCAGCCAATCTCTTTGTTAAGTTGTAACATGCATGACTTTTGCTCCCAATAAATTCCTCATTTTCATCTGAGACCTAGTCAGCCTGGATTTCAATTCACATTATCAACATTTTGGTCACAATTATTTAACCAGTCTTTGGGAAGTTCCAAACTTTCCCTCATCTTTCTGTCTTCTGATGCTTCCAAACTCTTCCAGCCTCTGCCCATTACCCAGTTCCAAAGCTGCTTCCACATGGGCAGATATCTTTATAGTAATGTCCTAACACTCAGTACCAATTTTCTTTATTAGGCCATTCTTGCATTGCTATAAAAAGAAATACTTGAGACTGGGTAATTTATAAAGGAAAGAGGTTTAATTGGTTTATGGTTCTTAATAGAGGCCTCAGGAAGCTTGCAATCGTGGCAGAAGGCAATGGAAGAGAAGACATGTCACGTAGAGAAAGCAGGAGTAAGTGAATGGGGAGGGAGATGCCACACACTTTTAAATGACTAGATCTCTATGGTGAAAACAGCGCCAAGCCATGAGGGCTCTGCCCCCAAGATCCAAGTACCTCCCACCAGGCCTGACCTCCAGCATTTGAGATTACAATTCCACGTGAGATTTTAACAGGGATAAATATCCAAACTGCATCAGTTTTTTTTTCCAAATTTATTGTAAGAGCTCTCTTTTGTGTAGGCATCCATACATGTAATGAAAGCAACCTTATCATAGAAAGCATTTCCACAATCATTATATTCAAAAGAATGGGAGAATTTGCTCCCAAATTCTCAATAGTCTTATGTTTAATAAGTTTCTTCACATAACTAAAAAGCTTACAAGTTTTTATTGTAATCATAAGGTTTCTGTTCAGTATTGGTTCTCTCATTTCCAATGCCAACATAAGATATATTAAACACATCAGCCTTCTCTTTTGAATAATTACATGGGGTCAACATGTAGAGGCCCAGGTATATAGGCCCAGAAATGTTACATTTACAGACTTTTTTTTTAAGGAAAAATTTCTGACTCCAGATTCAATGGTTTTCCTGAAACTCCCTCTTGTCCTGTAGTCAATATTTTGTTGCTGGTAAATAAAAAGTGAGAGATATATTCGTCTTGGTTTTCTTGGCTGTTCTCTAAAAGATCAAGTCAGCAATCTTATAAAAATGAGAAGGTTAAAAATTCCTTAGGAAGCTTAACATTATTTCTTATGAAAAGGGACATATATATGTGTATATATATATATTTATATGTATTTGTATGTATTATTATACATGCAAATACACATAATGTAAGTGCTATTATATATTTGACACTTTGGTTTCTCACTAAGTTGCTCAACAATAAAGTAACTCTAAGTAAATGTTAATTGTGTTTATTTTCCTCTGAGGGGAGCAATTGCTATAATGGAAAAAGAGAAAATAACATGGAAATGAATAACATATATATTGGTATTTTAAAACAATTTTCAAATTTGAGTAGAAAACTAGGTCTAAAAGGAAAGGAACAATGAATTCATGGCATAGCAGTTTTAAGAGGATAGGATCTTTGGAACAGGAAAATCAGAGAATGGGATGAATTTAACAATTCAGAAAACCATGGACAAGGTTTTCAGGGAACCGAGCAGAGAAAGGATTGGTCTCAGGGGACTGCCAAGACCTGGGTTTCCACCTGGGATTCCCATTTTTGTCATTGTACACACAACATCAAAATACATTTTTAATGGTACCAATTTCCTCATGTCTAAAGAAATAATCCTAAATCCCAAGGTTTTATTGTTTGATTTGTTTTTGTTTTTTTGAGATGGAGTCTTATTCTGTTGCCCAGGCTGGAGTGCAGTGGCACGATCTGGGCTCGCTGCAACCTCCGCCTCCTAGGTTCAAGCAATTCTCCTGCCTCAGCCTCCAGAGTAGCTGAGACCACTAATTTTTGTGTTCTTAATAGAGATGGGGTTTCACCATGTTGGCCAGGCTGGTGTTAAACTCCTGACCTCAGGTGATCCACCTGCCTTGGCCTCCTAAAGTGCTGGGATTACAGGCGTGAGCCACTGCGCCCGGCTAAATCCCAAGTTCTAATCTACTGGCTATCATTCATACAAACACAAACACTCAAGAGGAAGTGTAAAAATAACTGAAAGAATAGCCACGTTTCCACCTGAGTTGGAGTCACTGTTCTGTCCTGGCGCTGGTACTTTGGCTCATGCTGCTATCGTTAAAAAGTAAGCCTTTGCTGAGCATCAAATTTTTTTTTTTTTAGATAGGGCCACACTCTGTCACCCATGTTGGAGTGCAATGGTGAGATCACAACTCACTGCAGCCTCAATTTCCTGGGCTTCGGCGATCCTCCTGAGTAGCTGGGACCACAGTTGCATGCCACCACATCTGGCTATTTTTTGTGTATAATTTTACAATGTTGCCCAGACTCCTGAACTCCAGAGCTCAAGCAATTCACCTGCCTCAGCCTCCCAAAGTTTCCCCTTTTCAGTATCTTGATTCCTGAACCCAGTTTTAACCCTATTTCATAGTAAACTGCTTTCCATGCTTGCTCTTCCTCTCAATCTTCCTCTCTTTCTCTCTGTCTCTCTCTCTCTGTCTCTTTCTCTCTCTCTCTGTGTCTCTCTCTCTTTCTTTTGGGAGATTCTTGCTCTATCACCCAGGCTGGAGTGCAGTGGTGGATGCAATCATGACTCGTTGGAGTCTCAACCTCCTAGGCTCAAGCAGTTCTCCCACTTCAGCCTCCAAGGAACTGTGACTACAAACACATGCCACCACACCCAGCTAATTTTAATTTTTTTTTAGTAGAGACAAGGTCTCTTTAGGTTGGCCAGACTGGTCTTGAACTCCTTGACTCAAGTGATCCTCCTATCTCAGCATCCCAAAGTGCTGGGATTTCAAGCATGAGCCAACACACCTCTTGTCCTCCATGCATTTTTCAGCATATCCGGTTTCTACTGGTTGTGAAAAATTTAAGGATCACATGTTTCCACCTCCCTCCTCAATTTTAGAAGAATCCTTTATATTGATTTATCATTTAAAACTTCTGGTGTATACTTGACTGTCACCCTCCTGCTAGGCATACTTCATGCAACATCACGCCTTTGCTAAAAACCAAAAGTGGTTCTGAGCTCACAGCCCCAAG